TATAGTATATCTCTGGATATACTATATCAAAAAGTATAGTATGTATAGTATATATTTACTTCTGGATACAGTATATCCAAAGTATCAAAGTATGGTATACTCTGGAGTAGATCGCATACACAGCACTAATTGTCCTGAGCGGGATATATATGAGTTTTACCGAACGTGAATACTCCAGTGCCCACACCACACTAACACTTCCTCTACGGTCGACCTCAGAAAAGTCAAGTAGGTCGACCTACGGTACGGAACAGACCTCCGTCAGCGATACGAACTGCTGTTCGCGGGCGTGGTGGTGGCGGTGAGATCACCGGCGTGTTCAGTAATACGGTAGACTTCATACCGTAATGGACGGACCAGGAGTTACCCCGTTCTCCCGTCTTCATAAAACCACACAGGGTTGAATGGAATGGAATGGAATTATCAGGAGAAAGCGCCAAGCTATTACGATTATATAGCACTTGGAAGGGGTCAGAATAAGAATTTGGGATGGGACGGGGTGGAAAGGAATGCCGCCCAACCACTTAGACGATCGGGGATTGAACGCCGACCTGCACGAAGCGAGACCGTCGCTCTACCGTCCAGCCCAAGTGGTTGAGTTCAAGTAACGATTTCTCCGACCACCTCTTAAGTTTTCTGTAGATGCTCTTGCATCTTTCTTGTCTTCCACTTCTGGCATGACTTCTCATTAACTTCGCATTGTCCACAAACATGGGGGTAGACAAGACATTTCCTGTTTCAAGTCGTAAACACAAATTAGAACGAGAATAAATCAGTGATGACCTCTGTGAGATATATAGTTCTCGTGACCTCTCGCTACAGTGACCTCACTTCTCTGTGTCCCCATGTGATAATTGAGCTACCCATCCACTGAATTGTACGAGGTGTACAGTCCAGCTTGACCAGGCAGGGCATAGTCCAGCTTGACCAGGCAGGGCATAGTCCAGCTTGACCAGGCAGGGCATAGTCCAGCTTGACCAGGCAGGGCATAGTCCAGCTTGACTAGGCAGGGCATAGTCCAGCTTGACCAGGGAACGTAGCAGTATCCCACAAAACGATTGCCAACTGGGCCTTAAATACTAGCATGGTTGGTTATGCCGGTGGCATAAACTGGCCCCTCCGCGTCTCCCTCTCCACGACGTCTTAAACAGAGTCCCATCTTAAAGTCCCTCAGCGCACGTCTCGCCGAATCCTTTCACTCATCCAAGTAGTTTATCGACTAGCCAATTACACTTCCACCCTTGATGTCATCGATTGTCTGGGGCGTTCACCTTCCGCTCAATAATGGACTTTCAGTCAATCTCGGAGGCTGTACAAAAATCGATTTGCCGGCATGAATGTATTATAAAGAGCGATGTTCCTGAACAAATCCACAAGAGCCGTGACGAGGATTCGAACCTTCGTCCGAGAGGATCTCAGACACGTCTTAATCGACTGAGCTACGACATAGTATAAGAATTGCAACCGGGAAATCAACTTGACCTACCACGGATTTGTTCATTTGATGCATCAGGCTATTGTGATTTCTGTGTGTAATATTCCTGAACACTTAACCGTTACTTATATCGTAGAAGAAGGTGAAGTGGATTGGAGGGGGGTCGGGGAAGGACTCGTCTGGGAGTCTTAAGATATTGTTGAAATTACAACTTGACAATATAATAAACTTATTACCATGACCAAATGTAATGAGACCAAACTTAGCATAATATAACCTTAACTTAACCTAACCATAGATAGGGAGTAGATAACAGCACTAATTACATAGTGGTTTTGAAGTCACTACCCAGGGGATCTCCTTCCTGAGGATAGGGCATTGTATCAAATACAATGTATCTATCCAAAGTAGATCTAACGCTTAGGGCTAGTCTCACCCAACTTTCCAATATGACACATAGAGAATATGAGAGTGTCGTAGGCCTGTTGTGGTTGGCCCTAGTGCCTCTACAGCGACTCCCTGTGATTTTCATGAAGTCTGAAATCTGCTTTTCTCACAGTGTTCAGCACTTCGTAATATTACATTTTATGGGAGATAGATGGGAAAGGAGGGAAGAGGGAAGAAGAGAGGAGGAGAGTAGGGTGCTGGGAAGGAAATCAAAGAGGTGGGAGAGAGGGAAGGTTAGGGAAGGAGTAGTGGGAGAGAGGGGAGAAAGGGTATATGTTGCGGGAGCATGTGAGAAAAGTGGAAAGGGTGGGGGAGAGAAGGGGAGAGAGAGAGAGAGAGAGAGAGAGAGAGAGAGAGAGAGAGAGAGAGAGAGAGAGAGAGAGAGAGAGAGAGAGAGAGAGAGAGAGAGAGGTGTACACCCGTGTGGCGTAAGTGGGATTGCGTGATTTTATACATGTAAACAACATTTTTCATCTTTTTAGCTCACTGAAACACCACACGAACTGTATAAAAGTTAATTTACTCCGCCTATTGTTGCTTAACTACACTGCTGAGGATACTTAGAGGCCGAATTAATTTTGAATTTTTTGGTATTTGAATCTTCTTTTGAATTTAAGAAGTAAGAGCTTTTCAGAGCGGCATAATATACTCGGAATTAAATATTAAACACCTGTAGTGCAAATGTTTTGACGGTAGCAAATAATAAAAAGAGTGAACAACCAGAATGAAACAAAAAATAACTGTTATGTATTCATGCTGGTACAATGCAGTTTGGAATTACTCTTTTTAAACTCAACGTTAACGCATTCACCCCCTACTCCCCCCACCCCCCCCTCCCCCACCACCGGGTTCGTGAATCAGCGCTCAGTGAGGCAACGATCAGAGCAGCAATATTATCCATTAAAACATATGTTATGCAAACGACGTAATGATATTATCAGGGTGGATGGCCGTTCATCAACAAGTGGACAGCGCCACCCACAGTGTTTGCTCTCTTTCACCACAATAAACATTGGGGGGGCCACAGTCCCCAGGATTATGTTGTTCGGGGTTAGGGGGATAGTTATGGGTGGATGGGGGGTTTAGGGGGATAGTTGTGGGAGGGTGGGGGGGTTAGGGGGATAGTTGTGGGTGGGTGGGGGGGTTAGGGGGATAGTTGTGGGAGGGTGGGGGGGTTAGGGGGATAGTTGTGGGTGGGTGGGGGGGTTAGGAGGATAGTTGTGGGAGGGTGGGGGGGTTGGGGGATAGGTTTTAGGAGGATAGTTGTGGGAGGGTGGGGGGGTTTAGGGGACGGTTGTGGAGGGGTGAGGGGAGTGGGGTTGAGGGGGAGTGGGGTAGAGCCCATTAATTCAGTTGCGTCATTATAATGGAAGTGTTGACGACAATGGTATAGGGATTTTCAAAGTGAATTACCCTCTGCTGCTATTGGGAGTATAGCGCCATGTTATTGCGGGGTTATGTATATGTGTTGCCTATTTAGTTCTGTATTTATGTATGTATCTATAACTATATATTTGGATGTCTAAGTATGATCGAGTATGGAAGGCAGAACGCTTAAGACAAGCCTCACGCAAATTTGTCACAGTAATTGCTGTCGGGTGCATGTCCAACATGGTCAACCCAGGGTCGGTATCATTTGAAAAATGTGCCACTGCACATAGAGACACTAACGACGAATCTCACTCTAGTATCATGGATCAGCTCCATTATTATTATTATATATTATATTATTATATATATATATATATATATATATATATATATATATATATATATATATATATATATATATATATATATATATGAAAGTTTTGTGTTTGACGTGTCCAAGTTTGATATTCAGATGTAACAACCTGTTTCAATAGAGATTGCATTTATATTACTTCACTAAATTTCATAACGATCTGCTTTCACACACACACACACACACACACACACACACACACACACACACACACACACACACATCTCTCCGCATTCAGATACTGGCAACATTTCCCCAACGAATGTTCTCTATAAGAACGCCGCTAATGTTACACTTTGTACTATGAAACACATTCGTTCTCCATCAGATTTTTTCTCTCCACACTAAAGATCTACATCATAACAGCGCGAGATTTCTTTTAAATCGATTTTATTTTTTTATTTGTTCAATCTTAAGCTCAATGGTCTACGTCGTTGACTCACAACCGAGGATCCCCGGTTCGATCCCTGGGGGGGGATCAACGAGATGTTGTAATAGGTACTCGTTAAGCACAACAACCTCAAAAACAGCTTCAACAGCAGCAAAAGCAACCGGTACATCAAAAGTCACAAAAACAGCTTCAACAGAAGCTTCAGACAATAACAATAGCAGCTACAACACCGGCTATCACAAAAAGCTTCACCGACAGCTTTCCATAACAGCAACGGCTTCAACAACCCGTTTCTAAAACAGATTGAACCACAGCTACAACAACAACAACAGCTTCAAAAGCATCCGTTAAGGTTCAAACAATAGCCACAACAGCAGCTCCGTTAATAAGGCGTCTTAATAAGTAAAGTATTCCGCCTGAAGAGTGCAATAACAGTGTGTGTGGTGGCGGCCAGAGTGATCACCAGGTCCTCACCACAGATGTCTCGTAGTTACCCCCAGAGTGTCATGCGCTGTGGTGGTGTTGCTGTGGCGACGTTCTGGGGAGGGACGAGGGGTGTGTGTGTCCCCCTGGTAGCTGTGGGGGTCCATGGTGGCTGTGGGGGTTCCATGGTGGCTGTGGGGGTCCATGGTAGCTGTGGGGGTCCCATGGTAGCTGTGAGAGTCCCATGGTGGCTGTGGGGGTCCCATGATAGCTGTGGGGGTCCCATGGTAGCTGTGGGAGTCCATGGTAGCTGTGGGGGGTCCCATGGTAGCTGTGGGGACCCATGGTAGCTGTGGGGGGTCCATGGTGGCTGTGGGGGTCCCATGGTAGCTGTGGGGACCCATTGTGGCTGTGGGGGTCCATGGTGGCTGTGGTGGAGGGTCCACAGTGTTCATGTTCCATGGGGTCAAGGAAGGCAGGTATGCCGGTTACTCAGGCAGGTATGTTAGCTAGGAAGGATGGCGCGGAGATTCACTGACCACGGTCTATATCTCCTGTAGGTGCTGAGTGGAAGCTGCTGACGGATGCTGAGAAGCGACCCTTCATCGACGAGGCTAAGAGACTCAGGTGAGACCCTTAAGAACATCTTCTCTCGCTGGTTCCTCTTCCTCATAAAACACTAAAACACACACACACACACACACACACACACACACACACACACACACACACACACACAAAGTTCCACCAATTGGAGAGAATAATTCCATTCTGGCACTCCTAACTACCAGCTCTCTAATTTCCAGGTGATATAATCACTACTTACAAAATAGTAACAGAAATCTACAATATTGACAAAGTACAATTTTTTTCAAACTGCAGCTTTAAGAACAAAGGGACATAGGTTCGAACTAAGGGAACAAAGCTGGCGGAAAAAAAAAACATTATAAAGTTTACACCTGCAAACAGAGTGCTTTGACAGACCACGTCAAGCAAGGTGGGGGTGGAGGCCAAAGCAATCAGTAGTTTCAAAGCATCACTGGACGAAGACTACCGGGCAGACGGGATACCACGAACGTAGCTCTCACCCTGTAACTACACTTAGGTAACTACACTTAGGTAATTACACACAGCCATGCCTGCTTGGCAACTGGAGAAACAAGGCACCTGAGCGTCGTTCATATTTTTTCTCTCTCGCTGTCTCTCACTTTCACGTTATGTCTGCATCTCAGTCTATCCCAATCTCACTGTCTCTAAATGTCTCTGCATCTTTCTCTGTTCTTATTGTATCTCTCTTCATCTCTCCCTCTCATAGTCTCTCTCTCTGCCTCTGCATCTCTCCCTCTCACTGTCTCTCTCTCTCTCTCTCTCTCTCTCTCTCTCTCTCTCTCTCTCTCTCTCTCTCTCTCTCTCTCTCTGTCTCCCTCTCTCTCTCATTGATATCCTCCCTCTCACTCACACTGCCCTTCCCTCTCTCCTCTCTCTGTCTCGCTGTGTCTATCTCCCACTCTGGGCTTGTTGGAGGAGTGTGTGCAAATTTTCATTTGAAAACCAAACTATTCGTTGAAGAGCCTCAGTCTACAGCATATATACCAACCCAGACCGGTCCCAGCCCACATCACAAGCATCCCAGCCCTCATCATCCCACCTCCCCCAGCATCTTAGCCCTCATCCCCCCCCCCAGCATCCCAAGCTTGGAGGTGGAATTGGCCGGGTTGTCCACAGTGGCAGCCACACCATCTGCCCCCACAATGCACCACCATGCAGGTCGAGGTGTTAGAGCAGCCGCAACAATGGGGCGGTGGAGGATGGGAGGACAATAGACTACGTGAGTGCGCATGGCCCTCATGAGTGCCGGGGTGGAGGAGAGCCAGGCGACCGTGCCACGGAGAGCTAATACCCGAGCCAGCCTTGAAGGGGCCAAAAAAAAAACAAAGAGTGCCTGTTGCAATTGTTTCGTGGCGTGATTTGAGCCTCGTTATGAGCCTATGATATTTTGTTCGTGCTAAACGGACGGGTTTGTTAAACGTGGGTCAGGGGTGAACGGCCTTGTTAAACGTGGGTCAGGGGTGAACGGCCTTGTTAAACGTGGGTCGATTGAGACACGAGTCGTATTATGTGATACATCTAAACACCTGACATCATAACACTCGAACACCTGACATCATACCACTTGAACACCTGACATCATGCTAACTAAACACCTGGCACAGGTGTAACTAATTTGTAAAATGGACAATCGACAATCGAATGGTCCAGGACGGACCGAAACGTCGTCGTCTCTTCATTTTCCAGTGTGTGGTTTGGTCAACATTTTTCAGCCACGTTATTGTGACTCCTCGTCTGCCCTTAATTTGTAGTCACTCGTATACCTGACTACAAATTATGTAAGCGGTAATAAATTGTCAGTTCACGGTCGTGTTAACTTATACAAGTACAGTATGTCAAGACGTTTAGGGTAGATGTGTGTGTATTGAATATTTATATTTACAACTTGTGCCTGCAGGATCGAGCTATTAGCTCTTGGACCCCGCCTTTCTTGCCATCAAATGTCAAATGTACTCAACCCCGACTTTTTTTTCTTATCATATCTATTATATATTTCTCTGTAACACAAACACACACACACACATAGGATGCAGCCCGTAGCGGCTATGTGACTCCCAGGTACCTATTTACTGCTAGGTGAACAGGAGCATCAGGGCGAAAGAAACTATTTGTTTTTGTATCGACCAGGAATCGCGCTCCAAGCCCTTAGGACTACAGAATTCAGAGATAACACCATCAATGGAGTCCAAGAAATGTGTCAGCACTTCATTCATAAAGATGTACTGCCAGGAATCTTAGAGAAATATTCAAAATCTGCTGACTGTAAAGCTGCCGCCCAGTTGGGCGGGTGTGCAGCAAGACTAGTAACTGTGTGACTCACTATAGATGTAAAGTGTCTTGTATAGTGACACTATAGATGTAAAGTGTCTTGTATAGTGACTGTTATGAGCCTCATGTTGAATCATTTGTGATACTTAAGATTATTGATTTGTATATGTATTTGTGTACATGGATATATATATATATATAGAGAGAGAGAGAGAGAGAGAGAGAGAGAGAGAGAGAGAGAGAGAGAGAGAGAGAGAGAGAGAGAGAGAGAGAGAGAGAGAGAGAGAGAGAGAGTGTTAGTACACCAAAAAAATACAGATTCTTCCACATTTTACCAAGATATTATTGAGGATCATAGAACATCGTCAAGTCTCAAAAGCCTTGACCTTAGGACCGAACGTGTGCTCATATTTTACATTCATTCGAATCCAAATTGCACACCAGTTGGCCTTCTCTCACGGCTATCAGTTCAAGGTCCTCGCATCAGCGCGTTCACTGCCTGAACACTAAGCACATAACTGTTCACCAAGAGAGAGAACAGAACGGTCGAGACGGAAGAGTGAGAGAGAGAGACCAAGCCAAAATAGAATTAATACGATCCATCACTGACATTATTTTACAGGTCATGAGAAAATTACAAGGCAAAATGGCCCGGTGACCTTGTGTTTGTTGACGAGAGAAATCAGCATGTGTCCGCTTATCAGCCTTCGTTGAACGATAATGTAGATAACAGACACCACAAGTGCTGACCCATTAACACAACACTCGACATAATTTCCTGGACGTTTTCTGTCACGGTTTTTAAGATAGAAGATCTATTTATTTTCAATGGTGTATATATCATTCTTTGTCTTGGATTCCTACAGGATTGACGTTTGATCCTCGATGGTCGTATTATTTTTTTTCTACCTGCCACATTTCTTGCCGGTTATCATTTATAATGATAACCAACATATATGCACTTCCGTTTAAGTGGTTACACACACCGTCCCTAATGTTGTTTTTTATTTAGCTACTTATAACGAAATGTCCATGTAGCACTGGCTATGGTGAGCCCGTAATCACAAACGTCCCTTCACTTGGTTCTTATATCCCAGCTCATAGTGTGATGTCACCATACCTTCCAAGTGCTATAGAGCCAAAAGTGGCTTATCGTTTTATCTTGATAATTTTACCTTTTTGGTCTACTTATCTCCTTGCAAATGACAGTCAAAATTAGTAAAGTGTCGTCACAAGTGCTCAATATTTACCACCATTAACAGGGGGGGGTCCACCCCCCCCCCCTTTAGCCGTCCAGTCTCTTCAAACGTTATCAGTGAGGGAACAATTGTACAATCTATCTAGAGTTCAGCCAGCTGGCCAACTACGCAAATTCAAAATACACACACACAATACATACATACCCCCCCCCCTTTAGCCTTTAACAGTCATTAACCCTAGGCCTTAATGTAAGTCTCTTCAAACGTTATCAGTGAGGGAACAATTGTACAATCTATCTAGAGTTCAGCCAGCTGGCCAACTACGCAAATTCAAAATACACACACACAGGCTTGTTAAACATACATATATGGTGAAATATGCCCAAGATTACCATCCGAGTTGCCGTATATATCGAATTGTCAGCGGATTAAGGCGCCTGTAACCAGTTGCGTTGCTTCTGGGAGTATGGGTTCGAGTCACTTCTGGGGTGTGAGTTTTCATTCGCATATATATCATATTTGTGTTCCTCACGTGTGCGCTATGCCCAAGATTATATAGTGGCTCAAATAGCCTCGGCTATCATGATATGGTCAAGCGGATTAATATATGGGAGTATATATGTATATATAGTCCTGGGGACCATCAGGCTTGTTCGCACATATATATATGTATATATATATATATATATATCTATATATATATATATATATATATATATATATATATATATATATATATATATATATATATGTCGTACCTAGTAGCCAGAACTCACTTCTCAGCCTACTATTCAAGGCCCGATTTGCCTAATAAGCCTAGTTTTCCTGAATTAATATATTTACTATAATTTTTTTCTTATGAAATGATAAAGCAAACCCTTTTCTCTATGTATGAGGTCAATTTTTTTTTATTGGAGTTAAAATTAACGTAGATATATGACCGAACCTAACCAACCCTACCTAACCTAACCTAACCTATATTTATAGGTAAGGTTAGGTTAGGTAGCCAAAAAAGCTAGGTTAGGTTAGGTTAGGTAGGTTAGGTAGACGAAAAAAAAAAACACATAATTCATGAAAACTTGGCTTATTAGGCAAATCGGGCCTTGAATAGTAGGCTGAGAAGTGCGTTCTGGCTATTAGGTACGACATATATATATATATATATATATATATATATAAACGTGACCACTGTGACTACCCTATCAATGATAGTCTACCCTAGTGTTCAATCCTCTCCTCGGGCTCCACTTTTCCATCTATCCTTCCCTGGTATCCTTTTGTTTACTCTCATAGCTGTAGCCGTCATGTTTGTTACTCCTCCTGCCGATTGATTGATGAAGATTAAGCCACCCAAAAGGTGGCACGGGCATGAATAGCCCGTAAGTGGTGGCCGTTTTGAGCCATTAGCTGATAATGGAGATCTGTGAAGGTGCTCCTGCACCCTGCGTAACGGGAGATGTCTCCCGTGTCGTCCTCCTACCCACTCTACTATGTCTTAATTGGATCACAACAGGCTCTAGCCAGAGCCCTCATAGAGCTAGACGTACCATA